GTATGTGGGGCAATATTTTGGCCCTGAAAGTGCAGACAGTAACGCAAAGAAACCATCCTTCTAAGATACAACGTTTGCGCCACAGCTCAGAGAGCCGAAAAGCGGCAAGACAAACCATGACGCTTCTCAAGGAAATTTAGAGTTAATGATGACACTGCATACATAGCTACAAAACCAGTTAAGTATTTCAAGACACGATGCTTTATACAGTCTATATTGAAGCATAGCATCTTAGAACAACAGATAAGTTCATGAAGGGAGAGCACCATGTACCAGCTGCAACTCTTTTCCTAACTCCTTGTATTGCCTAGATATTGCACAAGACTCAGTAGTGAGATTTCATGCTGTAGGCCTGATCCTGTTCCCTTTACAGTTAATAGGAGTTTTGTCATGGATTCCAGTAGAATCAGGATGAGGTCCAGTTAAGTGAGCCACTAACTACAAGTGCAGCAATCTGAGTTAAGGCCAAATCAGAGTAATGTCAGCTGCGTTAATGACTTCTGAAAGTATATGGCGGCCAGGGCACTTTCTCAAGTGACATAATTCAATGTGGACGCAGCCAGTCAGACATAGGCTGTGTTCAAAATAATCAAGTTAGCTGTATACCAAATGCTTAATCACATTTTATATATGGGGAAGAGCCAATCGAGTATTTAAGGGCATTTAAATACACATTATTTGAAGTCCTACTTTGAAAGAAACATATTATTATTTCAGGCAGGCCAATGTGCAAGTTACACAAAAGAGGAAACTTTGAAAATATTGTTTATTACTCCTATATTCTGCATAAGGCTATAAATATGATAGAAAATTGTAGGAAGATAGTCTAGTTTGAACACAGTTGTTGCTAATATGGTTTCAACCCTAGTATATATAGGCCCAAACTGGAACGGGACATCTGGAGAAATTTTTAGGAAATGGCATATTCAGAGATGATCTCCACAGAATGATCACATGGCAATCCATGAAACTTGCCACATATTATATTAATCCTTCATTAGGGAAGTTTTATTACAATACTAGAGGTCTGCCAAGTAAATCAGTGGGTGAGTGGTGAGAAGCATCACAAACCCAAGGGAACAGCTTCAGAAGGAAAGAAATGTTTGTAAACTACAAATGGCCACAGGGAAACAAAGATAAAGGTGCAACACCAAAATTCCGAAGGGCAGATCACTACAAGGCATCAACCAAAAACAGATTTAAAATAATAACGAGAATGCTATTTAAATAAATAACTAACAACAGGTAAGTTTTTACAAGTCGAAATCTTTATTTTTCTTAAATCAATAAAATGTTTAGCAGATTCTCTTATCTCCAGACAGAGCAAAGACATAATCAGCAGTACAGTCTGCAGTGAAGTTTCTTGATTTGGATCCTTACAAGGTTTGGTATTCAAATTCTACCATAACTAGATTTTCATTTTGCAAATTAATCTGTATTCACCAGCTAAGGAATTGCGTTTACACTATAATACATTTGTACATTTACTTTACATCCAAATACAAAAAAGAGAATACTCAAAGTGTCAGTAGTAAATAATAATGACTGACATTTGTAAAGCACCTTTCACCTAGAAATCCTGAGTAATATTACAAAGAATAGGCACAATTCTGGACATCCACAACTCATTGAAATGTAGGAGATATGCATACATACAGGAGGACAGAATTTGATTCTGAATATGGGATCACTTTACCCTTCACTGATATGCAGCCACTTCTAGGACAGAAGGTGACAGATTTTGAAGCATGCACCATAACCTCAAGTATCAATTCAGACAGATGGCTGCAGGACTGTCCTTCACTAACTGAAACTATCAGACTCTTTCAGGGAGGCTAAATGCAACCACCAAATTTAAAGTTAGGTGGTGCCACTGGGACTACAACTCCCCTCCACAGCAAAACCAGATATTATAAGCCAGATTCTCAGCTGATTTATGTCTGTGTAGCACCACTAAAATCAGGCCAATTTAGTTAGCCATCATTTGAGTTCAATGGTGCTATGCAGATTTATGCCAGATGAGAATCTGGCCCTGGATATTTAATGACTAAGTGGTCACGACTCCAGTTTTGAATGACATCCAAAAAGATACTCCCATTTTTAACAATAGATGGGTACCAGAAAAAAATATCAATTTCAAAGAACGTAATAACCTTTGCCCCTCTGTCAACAAATGCAGTTGGTCGCCTCTCTTGTACAGTCACAGAAATGATTCTGACTGCAACACATGACAATCAGCCTCACAGTCGGACACATGCACTCCCTTCTCCTTTTAGGGATCACATGATTGTTGCTTCATTTTAAAAACAAACACTCTGCCATCCACAACAGCAAAGAAGCAAATAATTACCATAGGAAGGGCCTTCCAAGTAACAGATCTAAATATTACTTTATGTAAGGACTTGATTTATTGCTAGTAAGAGTAAAGGTCAGAACTTTCAAATGGGGATGCCTAAGATTAGAGTTTATTGGAGATCAGAATGCTCTGCATGATTGAAGAATAAAGTTACTTAGTTAGGTGCCTAACCTCAGGCACCCAAGTTTGAAAATCCTGGCCCACGTGTTCATAAAGAGCTATTTTCTCCAGCTTTAAGTCTTGTATGAAATTAAACCCTTCAGTGCTGTCAGTCCTGGCATGTTCCAGAGCCAAAAAACAGGATGCATGCCAAAAAGTTGAGACTTCCGCTGTCAAAGGGCTAGAGGCAATTGTTTGAAAAGGAGTTTGTTAACACATACCATATTTTCTTTCAAATAATTCTTCAACCTGCTTTCTCAAGTCTGTAATTCGGGCATTCCATTTCTCTGTAAGGAAAAAAGGACGACACGTTAGACTACAAATGAGATCGAGCCTTTACAAAGAGTGTTTTGCTATGAATTCTGGAATAAACAGTATGTCTTTATAGCTCACACGCACACAGATTCATGTGGGGGTGTGATACACAGTCTACATCTCAATATATATATAGGGGTCTGGTACACACTCTACATCTCAAAATACATGTATATCAAAGAAATAGGATAGAATAAAATGTTTAAGATTACCTCCAAAACTTGTGCAGATGTTAAACCAAGTTTAAAAAAATTAAAGAACAAAAATGGGCTAAAATTAGTCCAAAAAATGGGTTTTCTTCGACGTTTCAGTCAGCAGCTCACACCACCATCAGGGGTAAAGTCAATTTTCAGCAGCTATTGACAGTTATTTAAATCCAGAGCCTGAGAAGCTTAATTAGGAAAGCTTGATAAAGTTTACATCGAGTACATGAAGCTGTTTTGGCGCAAATCTGTAAAACTACATGGGTCAGGAGGCATCATGCCATCCTCTTCATTAATCCAGTATTTGCCAAAGTCCTGATGTTGGCTGGATTTGCAAGTCATCCATACAATTCCTATTTCTGAAAGAAGATGCAGACTGCAAGACAGACGTTATCCAAATCCAGTTGTGTGTTGTACGGTGAACTGGATTGAACCGCAATATTTTTAAACAGTTTAAGTTCTGTGACAGAAATTGCATCTTGTTCTCATATCAATTCAATACCTTTAGGAAGAGACTACTGGCTTTTTGAAGATGGTGCCAGCTGCTGGCTGGCTTTTAGTGACTACTAAGCAAGCATTTTTGTTGCCTGTATGTAGAGTAGACTTTTCTGACCTCTCCAGTTACAAGCTCAAAGTCAGACTGATACGTTTAGCCATTACACCTCCTTTTGCTGAAAATCTTTCTCTCGTGTAAAAGGAGATACAGAGTTCAGTTTCAAGTCTATACCAAAATCTGTTTTAAGTATCAAATCTCCTATTGGAAAATACATACAGCTTCAGGGGTTATAATTGATTTTTATATGCAATTTCTTGGATGTCAAGCTGTGTATTTCAAGCTTAGGTAAGAACAAGGCCTTGTCCACATGGCAAACTTTTTTGGAATAACTAACTTTTTCAGGATAAATGCCCTTGTGGCCATACAAACTTTTTTTTTTCTTCAAATTATCTGGTATCTCATCCTGCACTCATCAATCTGCTTTGGATTTAGCGATTCACAGGAGAATCTCTGCTGGGGACTCCCCATTCTTAAGCACTAGACCTGGTGGGACCTGCATGGACTGTTTTGGGATGGTGGCCTTGGAAGTACCCAAGCAACCCTGGACCTAATCCAGGAGATTCTCCCAGACAGCCAAGATCTCTTTGTCATGCCAAACCCTGAGCCAGAGACCCAAGAGAAATCCAGGCAGAAAGCCAGCCTGAAACTGCTGTATAGGGAAGAAATACTACTAAGTATTAGGTACTGTAACACAATACAACTATCTAAGGAGATTTCTTAAACAACTGTGTTCCAGGTGTTGGCTGGATGCTGCCATTTTGGGTGGAGTCTCTGCCTAATCAGCTCTCCCCAACCTTCCTTTAGTGTCCTCAAAATGGCATCTTCCCTTTAAGCCCTAAAAGGTTTATTCCACTGAAGTATCAAATTCCATAACCACTGGCCAAACATACCACTCATTGTCCCATCCCCCTTCCTGTGTGATTCTCCAAGATGGTGGTACTGCAGGGGTTAAAAGAAAAACCAAACACATTTCAAAGCAGGTTTATTTTAACAGCAGATACAGTAGGAGAAAAAGCCACAGAAAAAGTAGTTTGGTTCACAGTTTAATCAGTGCCCCAAGCTTTTAGCTACCTTTACATTTTATCACGAAAATTGCCAAAATTAGGCTAGACACATTTCAAAATGCATAGGGATTATAAAGCATTCATGGCTAATTTTCATCTGACCTTCAATATTAACCACCCCTTAATTTTAAACCAATTACTGCAAAAGTCTCCTTATTTTGTAGTGCTCCTGATCTGCATGAGTTATAAAAACAGAATTTAAAGCAAAGATAGTCCTCTGTTTGGCATGCACATTGTAAACCAATGCAGCTTTTTTGGGGCTGCCAAGATAGATGGCATTTCCCTTCCTCTCCTGGACCAACTTAGGGCATGGGGGCACCATCCTAGGAACCCAATAGCACTGCATAGTTCACTGGTTTGCCCACTGACTTTGAACAAAGCCATCCTCTACGTATTGGGAACACACCTAAGGGTAACATGCTCCAGTAAGGGTTGCCTATAGAGACGCACATCCAATTACTAGCCTGCCCCCTACCCCCGCATCTTCCATTACCCACCAATCTCCCAGCCAGCACTGATACAGAGGTCCTACAGGAAGGGGAAGGTGGAAAATGTCCACGCTCACCCCAGACTGGGAAGAGCAGATAGCAATGGCATTCCAAAAAATGAGGAATATCAACTTACTGTTGTCATGGAGAGCACTATCTACTTGCACCTTTTCTCTGTCCTCCCTACCATATGAAATGCCACCGTCCTGATAGACAGGGAGCCTTAATCAGCTGAGCATCTGAAAAGTCTCTGCGTGAAGCAAAAGATGACGTGAAAGAATATGTTCTCAGACCTTGTCAAATACATCTCTGCTAAGATGCATTTAACATGAAAAACTCAGTTGAGAAATCTCCTTTCGCCCATAAAAACATCACTTCCTAATAAAATGTTCCCTCTCTCCCTCTCTCATGCACACCCACCCACCATTCATTTGGTTACAGTATATTCATTTTCTATCCATTGCACTCTGGCTTCAAAGTAGGAGCACAATGTTTCCCTTGACACTGTTTCCCCAACCAGTTGTGGCACATTAGAGGCACCGTCTCTGACTATTCACATTGAGAAAAATCTCTCCGCCATCAGTGAGGATTTCTCCCTTGCTCTCTCAGATGCTGGGCAAAACACAGCAAGCACCTATCTCACAGGGCAGATATGGCTCACAAGCATCCGGTCTTGTTAGGATATAAGACAGTTCCACTTTCCCTTCCATCTTTCAAAAGCACATTCCACTGTCATACCGTAGCTACTCAGGGTATAGTTAAACTGCATCCTTCTCCTGTCCATGTGTCCAGTAAAAGGCTTCGAAAGGAAGCAGAGGATAAGCTGGGTTTCCCAGAATGACAGGAGGAATCGCAACACTATTAACGTCCATAGTGGTCCTGGGAGCAAAAGTTCCTTTTTTCATTGGAGTAAACAGGGCTGAGTTTCTCCAGTTCCTGGCAATTTTGAACTTGCCAGACTACCCTATATTATTATCGGTGAACCTTCCACAGTGATCAACCAGGCCTTGCAGCACACCACGGACAAATACCTTTTTCTGATGAAGTCTGAGGGGCAAAGAATTGATACATGGGTCCCATCAATAGTCCCAATACAATGTGGGAATGCCATTTGTGCAAATCCATCAATAACCTCCTGTGCACTCCCATGCTTTATGACATGGCCCAACAGCACCTTGTCAATAGCACTGCACACTTCCATGAGAACAGTCCAGACAGTTGATCTGCCAACACCAAACTGGTTAGCTACTGACTGGTAGAAATAAGGGCCGGTGAACTTCCAAAGGGTTTTGGCTGTACACTTCTCAATGTGAAGGGGAACCCCCCTGTTGGTGTTCCACCACTGCAACTCCAGGGGGAGGCTTTGCACAGATTTCTAGAAAAGTATCTTTTGTCATTCCGAAGTTCTGCAGCCAGTGCTGGTTATGCCAGTTCTGCATCATTATCATGTCCTGCCCGTAAGCGTTAAGTTTGCTGAGTGCAAAAGCGGTGCTCCATTGAGTGGAGCCGCTTCAGGAAAGTGTCGTGCAGAAGTAACAGCTTTATTTCAAACTCCTCCTCGACCCATGCGGCTGTGGCTGTCTCGCAACCCATCCAAAGCCATGAACACCAACAGAGAGGTGCAGCAGCTCCTTCACATTCATGACAGTCAGGATCATGGTGTTCGGCACGTTTTCTCCACGCTGTCTGATAGCAGTTTGAAAATGGTACTTGCCTCACAAGACACAGGTGAGCCAGGGGAATTGTTTAGTCTGAGCCCAAATCCTAGTATGTTCTGGTAGGCATCCCACAATATGCTATGAGAAAAATCCCAGAGTGCATACAGCCTAATGGCAGAACACTGGACTGAACACTACACTGTGCATCTGTCCAGCACGCTGTGTGGCTAATTAAAAAAAATCACAGTGCTCTGTGGACACCACGATCCAAAAGGGAAGTAGCTTAAGCCAGAATAAACAAAGCATGTGGATGCACTCTTTCGCTACAGTTACTCTGTATGTGTTATAACAGAAAAACCAATGTTAAAAAAAAAAATCACTTTCCCATGGAGACAAGGCCTAAGCCAGGCTACTCACCATGAAGCAGTCCCCCTTCTTTTCCCCAGCATGGCTCCCCTTGGCACACCTTTGCTGTGTCACTTGAAATGTGGAGAGAAACTGACTAGGACTGGCTCCTGACCTAGGACCTCCTGTTATCCATTAAGCTAAAGTGAAAGTGACCGGCCTCACTCTTTTCTCAGATTTTCTCTCAAGAGGTCAGACAAGAAAATGGCTAAACTGATTTCTACTTCATGTTATCTTATTTCTATGTTGATATCATTCAGGTTTCCTCCTCTCCACCACAATGGCTTCCAAATGGTTTATAAAAGCTACAACTTTGGTTAGTCCAAATTTTGGCGAGAGGAACATTTTACAGGTGAACAAATACAGGTGGCTGACAACTGTTTGCTCTGCAGCAATATATCTACAAAGAAATATAGGCTGTTAACTGAATGCCTCTATTTATCTCTTCAAAAGTCCCACAACCTGATGTTATCTAGAGTCATCAAGAAGAAACTTTTTCAGGAAGCAAATGACAGAGATAAACTTGAATTTGAATCTTACCAAAATTGAATTCTCTCACTTTTCTTCTCCCAGCATTGGCAGCCTCATTTGCTGACTCAGTGTTCTTCGGTCTCTTGTTGGGTGGTAAGTAGTCCTCATCATCTTAAAAATAAAGAGGAGATGCATCACTGATGCTTTTATCCAGACAAGTATTTTACAGCGTTGGCCCTGTTTTGGAGTCTCAGAGTTCTAATAGAAGTATCAATCAGTGTCTTATTAAGGGCCCAAATCTGCAACCTTACTCATGTGAGTACTTCTAGATTTAAAGAGAGTATCTGGCTGTGTTAAAACTACTTAGGAGAGTAAGGGCCCCAGGATGTAGCAAAATTTATTTCACATTTTCCTGGAGAAGATGTTAAATGAAGCAAGAACTAAGCGGCGTTCTGAACATATGCTTGGTCACAAAGTCATCATGGGACAGCAAAAGTAAATTAACATTTACTAAACATTTATCTGATTGACTAGAAAATCTATCCACTGAAGATATGCCTACGTTGCATAGACTACACCAGCATAGCCCCATAAGGTAGATGCATCTTACACTGCCCAAAGAAGGTTTCCTGTCAGCACAGGAACACCATCTCCCCAAATGACATTAGCTACGTTGATGGAAAAACTCTTCTGTTGACATAGCTGCATCTACACTGGGGGTTTGTCAGCATAGTTATGTTGGTCAGGGATGTGTTTTTTTACATCCTGGCCAATGTAGCTATGCCAATATAACTTTGAGTGCAGATCAGGCCTAAGTCTTGGGCCTGGTCCCCACTTAGTCCAGACTTCGGACTAAGGTACGCAAATTCAGCTACGTTAATAACGTAGCTGAATTCGAAGTACCTTAGTCCGAACTTACCGCGGTTCAGACGCGGCCGGAAGTCTCCCCCCATCGACGCCGCGTACTCCTCTCGGCGAGCTGGAGTACCGGCGCCGACTGTGAGCACTTCCGGGATCGATTTATCGCGTCTTAACCAGACGCGATAAATCGATCCCAGAACATCGATGGCGTGCCGCCGGACCAGCCGGTAAGTGAAGACTAGGCCTTGAAATGCACTACCCAAATTTAGGGCCTACACAGGACTAAAGTAAGCTCTACAGGCTCTTATGGTACATATGTCCCTGCAGAAGAGCTCCACAGAAATAGAGCTTCAAAGCAGTATAACTCTGTGAGCAGGGCCGGCTCCAGGCACCAGCAGAGCAAGCACGTGCCTGGGGCGGCACATGCTAAGGGGCGGCATTCCGTCCATTCTTGGGGCGGCAGAGTCCGGGCAGCCTTTTTTATTTTTTTTATTTTTTTTTTGCACTTCAGCAGTTCGGGTGGCGGCAGTCCGAGCGGTTTTTTTGTTTGTTTGTTTTTTGCTTGGGGCGGCAAAAAATGGTAGAGCTGGCCCTGCCCGTGAGACATGAACGAGTTTCATTTAACAAGAGCTCGGAAAATCAGGGGTTGTTCTGAAGTTTTTAAATTCCAGTAGATTCATGGGTATAGTTGCAGCAAGCAGGAAATAAGACCCTTTGACTCTCTCCAGAGTCTAGTTATGCTCCTGAGGCCAAATTCACCTAACGGACAGAAAATGCAGTTAAGGAAAGCAGTTGATAAAGGTCTCAGGTCTTTCTGCTCTGATGAAAGAGGTTTAGCAACCCAACAAACAAATCCAAAACTATGCCAGAACTTTGACTTTTTTCATGTTATTAAGTCTTATAACAAAATCCTTTTACATTTGCAATATTTGCAATCCTAGATAAGAAAACTTGATAATTAGAAAAAGAAACTGAAGCCAGTCTCATACTAGAGATAGAATTTTCCCCAGGATATCTTGAGTGTATTTCCATTTGGAAAGCACAGTGTATATTTTAATTTGTAGCCACTCATCTCTCTTTGGCTCTGTGATAGGAGTCAGCTTTTCAGTGTGGTTTTACTTGTATGGCAGAGGACTTCCAATCAGTCTTCTAGTACAAAAGCAACATGTAATTGCTTGAGTGACACTACACTCCTTTCACTGCAGCTACATCACTGAACACACTTATTACAAATCAGAGGCTGAAACAACTTATCTTGCCAATAGATTTTTAATCAGCATCAGACAATTAGTTTAAAGCTTCAGTTACAGTACTTGTACATGCAACTCATGAATCTTTTCTACAAGCGTGTCTTTAACTAGGAATTTGTACGTGACTAAAATGCCTCTCTTTTTTAAGAATGAATGTCCTTCG